CCATAGTAGCGGTAACTATCCCGTGGCCCTAAACCCGAAACCCTAAGAAATATGGAACCATGATCTTGGTAATTACCTAGGCCCCTATCGTAAACCCAAACCCCCTAAACCCTCGGGGCATGTTTCGGTTTGCGAGCCTCTCTGAATCCCATCAGCCACAGCGTATCCAGCGCATCCACCAAGGTTTGGCCAAGACCTGACGGCTTCTCAAGATTTGGGGTTTATGGTTTAGGAGTTCCCAAATTAGGGTTTAGGGATTTATGGGGGTTCCCAAAAGGCACCCCTAAGGGCCCGAAGAATAAGGATTCTAGTATATTGGGTTCGATATTTTTGGGGTTCCCCTAAAGCACCCCTGCGGGTCCGAAAAATAAGGATTCTAGTATATTGGGTTCGATATTTTTTGGGGTTCCCCTATCTATGTAGGGAAACTATCATTTGGTTCAGGGTTTAAGGTTTCTTCTCAACGCCTTGGAATACCTTTCAGGGTTTAGGGTGTATCATCTCCCAGAAATAGAGTCCTCGGTAAGAAGAAGCCCCCCCCAACCTAAAAGCCACAGAACAAAAAAGATGAGAAACGACAAGCGCAAAACCGCCCGCCTCCCCAGTTATCCCGGCCAACGCCAGACACCGGCCTGATCAGGATGAAAACACAACAGTTTGACTATCCAACGCCTTGCTTCACCAAAAATTCAACAAAACAAAGGCACATGAGCCTGAATTTGTAGTATATCCCTTTATAGGTCCCCCCCAAAACCCTACACCCAACCTAAATTTTGTCCGTCGCGCATATAGGAGCTATAGTGGGATTTAGGGTTTAGGGATTAGGCTGATTCATAAGCTCTTGGGATTGCACCGAAAACCCAGGCAGCAAAGCAGCATCGCACATGCCACCCAACGAGCCTAGTTGCCGATGTCATGGGTTAGTGCGCCTCAGCCTCTATGTAATACGAGATTCCCGTAATGGTGGTTATACGCTGATGTATGTATAACACACACATCCCAGGAATAGGAACCAGAGAACTCGGGGTGTTCTAGGGTTAGTTACACACTTCCAACTGTCGCCTGAGCTCGTCCTTTGCGAAAGCACGCTGTTCATAATTTTGCCAAACGTGGCGCATCATCGATAAGGCCTCCAGCTGCTGGTGGTTGGTCGGAAATGGGAAGATAAGTGCCATTGCTGTATTGAGTATGCTGAGGTCTTAAGTAGGGATCCATAGTTCCTTGATTCCCTACTAGTCATCGGTATGCAAGCTCATAGCATCTAGAAAGCCTGCCTGCCAACATACCCTCCAAATGGCATTTCTCCAGCCCTCCTTATGAGGCCATTTTATGTCTGTGGTCCCCAAAAAGACGCCTGTTCTGCATAACATCCACAGATGATACCTGAGCAGAAGGACCTGGACCTGCATTTGGGGGAAGACTCCAACACTCAAGCTATACCTTCCAACCCTAAGTGACAAATAAAACCCTAGCCTGAACCCCCTGAATAAAAGCTTCATGTCGAATGTAGTTTCCGTGTTCTTTTCCATTTTCTTTCCCATTACTGCATCCCTAGATCATCCCTATATGATACCCCTGTGTTCCCATATTCCCTACTAACCCCTGGACTTTAGAACCCTGAACAACCCTGAGCCTGTCGTTGGGCCAGAAAGGCTTCTTCGGCCAAGTAAACCTTCCCCAACCTGTCACAAAGAAAGGAAGGGTTAGGTTTTAGGGTTTAGGGCTGCCCAGGATCTTGGTGGGCTATGAACCAAGGCTATATAAGGCTTAAGGCCAACAGGGTTTAAGAGGGGGGGGCTACTATACTAAGGGAGAATTCTGAATAATGGGTCACTCCAATTTGTTCTCCTCTGCTAGGCAAGCAACTGGTGGAGACGCGCATAGCCCGTCCCTGCTCGTTTCTTGCCTCAGCATTGAACGTCACAAGCTGAAGGATAATTATTCCAAGGGGGGGGCGCTTTTGCCAGAATTAAACATTCTTTTTCAGTGTCCATGCAGCCAGGATCATCATGTTTTTGAGTATGTCGAGTATATCAACCCTAGAATAAGGGCTTTCTCATCTGGGGTGTATCAGGGGTACCCCTATTTTTCAAAATCTGCAACTGGTTTCTGCACCATGGACTGAGGCGGAGACCACGGCACCTTAGTTGCAGTCATTGTCTTCGCATTTATGTTTATGCAGAGGAGAGGGACATGGGAGGATGGGGGATTAAATCAATGCCCCTCAAGAAGAGCCCTTACGCCCCCTTGCCTCCATGAAGCTACGTACTGCCAAGCAGCTGCACTGCACGGGAGAACTGTGGGCAGAAACCGCATGACAAGTCAGCGAGCGCGTCCAGCTGAGACAAGGAGAAGGACGCGAGCCTGAGGGATATTGAAATTGTTAGGGAGGGGGGTTATATAGGGATAATGGAAAAGAAAATGGAAACTACTACAGTATAGGGTTATTTTGGGTGTAGGGGTTTAGGGTTATAGGGTTATAGGGTTTAGGGTTATGGGAATAGAATTTTCCCCCTACATGGAGTTGCAATGACTGCACTGGAATGCAGCCCAGGGCACGTCTGCGCATCCCACATCTCGCCAAGCGCTGAGGTGCTTTGCCGTCTCCACGATGGGCGTGCGCCCTGCGCGTTATGCATGGTGACTTAGTAGGCTCCGTATTTATGGCCTGCCCACAAGGACAGCAACACATGCTATCCAATGCTTTGTGGGGCCCTGGTTACACTCTCAACAAACACCTAACGACCACCTACCTAGTATGAAAATTGAACATGTGACTGTGTCAAACCCACAACTAGCCTGGACGCAGTCGTGTGACTGGCGTTGCCTCTTTTGTGCAGACGGGGCAATCCTGCCACCACAAGTCAGCTTTGGCTTTGCTTCGCTATGTTTAGCCAGAAACTATTACAATATCGGGGACTAAATAAGGACCACTATATACGGATCCATTCCTTCATTCCTTGCTAACCAGAGGTAAGTTTGGGCAAAAGCACTGCCCAAAAGTAGGCTCTCCCTCAAAGAACATACCTTCCTGCTAGAGGATGGGTTTGCCAGCGCCAGCAGGAAACCGACGGGGACAATGCCGTGCATGTCCCTGGCGAGTCAGGGAAGATGCTCCGAACACGTTCACGTGGGAGGCTTTTGGCAACGGGGCCAGCTTAGATGATTGGTTGAAACCCAATTGGCATGTCCAATGTCGAAACTTGCTGATGTCACAAATGGTGGCATATATGCAGGTTGTACTCATATAATGAAAAATCAAATGGAGAAGAAGATGGAAAATGACATGAAGGCTGGGATAGCAGAGGGTTTATAGGGGGTGATACTTAAAGGCTTCAAGGTTTGTGAAAGGCACCCTGAGAGGGGACTTACTCGAAATTGCCATTTTATAGGGCTGCCACGTCTGGGGCTCCATTTTAAAGCGCCGCATTCTTGAGAAACTCAGAATAATAATAGTAATAATAATAATAATAAAAATACTGGAAGACCAATTTATGGTACTAATAGAAATATTTCTAATCATTATCGTAACTAATAACATCATAGTACAAATCCACAACGAAGAAACAACAATCGCGAGCTGATGCAACCGAGTCTCGCATTAGACTCGCAGGAGTTGACTGCGCCGCATGCAGCATGAAGGAGCGAGGCGCTCAAGCCGGCTTAGTGTTTGCGGGCAGTGTGTGTTCGAAAGTTTGCGTCTAAAGCTTCTAGGCTTTCCTGTCAAATACCCTTCCCGGAGGTGGTGGGGTGTTGTTCATTCAGGAGGGAAAGTATTGGTAGCTTCCATGTTTTCTCCCTTCCTCATTCCCCTTAGCATGAATAAGTTGAGTTGTGCTATGCCTTTACCAGCAATACGAGCTTCGAGTGGCTGACTGCTCAACAACTTCCTGGCGCCACGGCTTAGAGGTATAGGGCCTAAGGGCTTGAGCTTAGGAAAGCCTGCAGGGTTTATTTGGGTGTAGGCCGCAGGGGCTCTAATGTTTGGAGATATGATCTAGCGTCTAAATTCCTAGTATCCCCCTTAAGAACGCCTATAGTAGTCCCCTATAAAACCCCCTTTTCAAGGAGTTTTGGCTATAGCTCATATGATGTGAGTTATGTTTTTTGGGCTGCAAGATGTAAGTGGCAGGCTACTGAACCAATAGCATCAAGACGGACAACAGCTCCAGAATGACCACGAGCCGCGGACTTGCTGCGCAGCAAAACCATCCCTGGAGCTAGCCAGGTGGAAGATTCACAAACCCAAGGGTTTAGGGATTAGGGTTTATGGATTAGGGTTTAGGGTTTAGGGATTAGGGTTTAGGGATTAAGGTTTAGGGCTTGGGATGAGCATCTTATGAATCTTCGGAGGCTATGGACAAGCACCCAAACGTATGCCTCCGTAAGTGCTAAAGCCAAGAGCATGAGTGGCAATCACAGAAACCATGTGTGCTACAGACGTAAACCCTTAACCCACTCTGGTTGGTGGTCTCCTGCTCTCTTCCCCATCATCTCCGACTGGTCCTGATGTAAGCACTTCCTCCTAACATCGCGCACTCTAAGCCCCCCAGCCTGCAGGAAGCACATCCTCCAATCAATGCACTTTTGCCGGGCACCGTGTTCCGCTCTGTTCGATCTGGGTTGCCCTTTTAGCATCTTGTTGTGTTTTGTGCCTCAGTAGCACCTCTGTAGATCATGAGAGCCCAAAGGATAACCCAGAAATGCGCTGGCTAGCCAGTCTTTGGCCACAGCTCTTGTAGCGGCGCGTGAGACAACCAGTTGTCAGGCGGACAGAACTGCAGATCTTACATTGTGTATGTCTGAAGAAACACGGGTTCTCATAGATTCTAAGCAAAGACTCCAAAAAAGATAAGCCTATGGTCCTTCGGACCCGGACGCAGGAGATCCATAACATTGAGACTTCTTGGCGGTCACCAATCCGGAAACCTTAAACTTCTTAACCTCAAGCAGTCTGCATCTTAACCCCTAAGCCCTCCATTCTGTTGAAATTCTCGGCTCTAGCCCGCTTGCGAGAAAGGACCATTGGGAATGTCAGCTCTTTGTCTGATCTCATCCAAAGTCCAATCTTTCAGAAGAGCTCCATCTCTGAAAACCTCCACCAGCAAGTCCTGAACTTTTGGGAGATTGCCTCTACTTTTCCCAGCACAGGCCCACTGTATAATACTTGTCCCTACATCCGTTTCGCTTAGCTTGGGGGCAGTAATCCCGAAGCCCTACACCCTAAGTCGAACAAACTCCCATGTGGTGGCTTCTAGCATCTGCGCCATTTTCCTCCCCACGATGAGGATGCCCTGTGGTTTGGTTCTTTATGGGGCGATATAACACGTATAGAGAGTGTTCATACACGTATATGCCACTTTATAACCACAGTTTCCATTCATATTCTTTTTCCTTGAAGTAATATTGTGTTTTCAGGTGGCGCCAGTCATGGCCGGGGGTCATTCCGGTATATTCCAGCTCTCATTGTGCAGGCTCCCCAACAAAAAGGCCCCCCCAAGTCTTGGAACCCTACGCTCCATAGTTCCCTCATAGAACCCCTATAGCTTTAACCCCAATATGACCCCAAACTAAGCCCTATATAATCCCTATAGCTTCCATTTTCTTTTCCAATTTCCCAATATTAAAAACGCCAATTTACATCCCTATAAGCACCAGTTTCATTTCATTTTCCATTTTCTTTTCCATTTGATTCTCCATTATAGGAGCCCTTATAACCCTATAGAATCCCAATATACTAAGGGGCTCCATGGGCATGCTACGTAGCTCGGGTCCTTGGCCAGATCGCCCCTTCCGCTGGCCACGGTGACATACTCTCCGTTGGCCGTGTAATGAAGGAATCCTCCGATGTTAGTGTTCTTTTCGGTTTATATGAGCTACAGTCTAAACTCCTAGTACCCCCCTTAGTAACCCCTATAGTATAATCTCCTATAAGCCCCGTTTAAGCAGTGTAGACTATAGCTCATGTAGCCTGTCTCTTCTTAGACTTTGAACCAGGCTTTCCAAATTCTCCTCCTGAAGAGGCCTACAGTCCCCCTTAAGTAGATAGAATATGGCTTTGGGTATATTTTAATAAGATCCCCATATACCCCATATTCTATCTACTTAAGGGGGACTATGCACTCAAGCCCAAGCTGTCCTTGACCTCCGGGTGCTCCATTTTCGTCCTGCCGCGGCTTGTACTTGTCCTGGCCACAAACTAGTGGCGTGTAGGGTTTGGAACCCCCTTTGAAAAACAGTAGTATATAGAGTCCTTATGCAACCAATTAGGGAAAATATTTAAGTATCCCAAAGGCCAACCCAGTATTGTTCCCCACGAAGCACTGCGGAGACCAGAGTAGCCAGAGTAGCCTTCTTGGTTTTCGGTGCGAGAGAATCGAGAGTAGCGCAGCAGGCGGCATCATCACGGCGAGGGTTGGTTTGAAAATGGTCTATTACCCCTAAACCACCCCTATGATCATAAGCCGTATATAACCCTCATGTCATGTAAGAAACCCTACATAATATCCCCCTTCCCTAAACCCCTCTAGAGAGATCAGGGGCAAAGCAACAACAAGGGCGCCTTATGCAATTCATGGGTCGCTAAAGCACTTTTGCCATGCAAAGTCCGCGATGCTGATGATATCCAAGAGCTTCTCCACCCTACATACTGGAACCTAGACAAGCTCAACTAAACCGAAACAACCCTAGACTCCAAACACTATAATCCCTGAATAACCAAAGATACTAAGTCCTAAACAACCCTGGACCTCGAATCCTAAACCCTACCAATTATGTTTGGGCTGTATGATTTCACCCTTAACTGCCAGATATTTTGATGTCCCCCTTAACATTCCTAGCTTTCAGCTCATGTCATGTGATTCTCCGTTTTCTTCTCTTCCCCACTAGCATATAAGAAGTACCCCCCATCCCTACATACACATGACATTTGGGCAAGAAAAATGACCCTGAAACTCCACGTAAGCCCCAACAAAGCACCTCTTCAGCACCTGCAGTGTCTGCTGCCCGCTGTACCTGGATCCACAAAGTTAGGGGCTTTGCTCAGCAAACAATAGGAAAACCAAGCCAAACCTATGATAAGTCCCCCCCAAAGTAGATAGAACATGGCTTTGAGTATAGTACAATATGACCCCATTTACCCTATATTCTATCTGCTCAAGGGGGCTATAAACCCAAGGAATCCGCCCTACACGCCCCAAACCCGAATCAAAAAATCCTCCGAATCCCAAAGCCCAACAGCTACCCTAGAGTACCCTGTAGAACCCAGTTTCCATTTGAGGTAATTATATCTATTTACCCCTGTCGGTTGATCCCTGAACCCTTACAGTCCCAGGTACCGTCAGGCGCCCCTTCTTGGACGCCTTGCCCTTGTCAGTGATGGGGTCCTTGAGTGGCAGTTGAAAATATCTTGGAGCAAGCAGCTGCCTTGGGCCAAAGCAGCACGAAGCTATATGCAGCATAGCAGTGGAGGGCTTTGCGTTGCATGCACTCAATGTTAACTCTGTTTAGATAGGGCCCTCAGGATATGTGACCCGCAAACTTAAGCTCCTTGAAGACCTCACGGGCAACGCCGTTCACGGTGATCTCCGAGCATTTGAACGCACACCTCATAGGCGGTTCAAGGAATATCGTGTTTCAGAACCCTACAACTACGCACATCCTACTTCTCTAGCGTATGTTTAGTCACCCACTCCCCTAGCCCACTCTCCAACCCCTAAGCGCCACTAAGACACTTGAAGGTGTCTCGGTTAAGCCTCTGAAGCAAAGCACCGCCGCTCCCAAAAACCATGTTGTCTGCCGCGAAACCTGGGTGAAAGGGGCTCGCTTTCAAAACTGGGGTACCCTACAGGTCCACTTAAAGGAGTTATCAGAAAATGTGGAGCTTGGGGACGTTGGTTGAAGAACTAGGATTGATGTTGGGCCTATGTTACGGGAGGGGCCCACCGTTGTTTTCAGAAGCCTTCCAGTTTTCTCTCACAGGGTCTCACGTTCCTTGCAAGCGTGAGAAATGTATGTAACCCGAAAACTATAGAGATTATTGCGAGGGCCGGCATCCATGAGACTGAACCCTAAAATGTCCCACCTGCATCCTTCAGGGCGCCAAGGATTTTCGGAATGGACTCGTAGTCCACGCCATCGCCTCCGGCTGTTCAGGAGGTTCATGACCGCTTGGATGCGGGGTGCTGCCAAGTTTTTTAAGGACTCTCCAGGGAGCCAGCAGAGAGATAGGGCTCTGTGTACATGCGAACGGGCTGAGGACACCCGCCCGTAGGGTTGGCACTGGCATATGATTGACGTACTGTTCACTGACTTACAACTGCCCATAAGCTACGAAGCATGTGTTAGCGAACCACAACGCAGCACGAAAGCGTGCACTTCATTGCTTCTGGTGCTTGCAGTATCGGCAAGGACCGGAACCGCACCGCAAAAACCGTCCACTCACAAAAGCAAGCTGTGGGAAACTTGGTTACAGTGCACAGCCGTACTGGAGGAGGATACAACACGAGACGAGCCAGTTTAGCACCCCCAGATGTCATGAGCAGAAAGGTATGACACCTGCATGACATGTTTCTGCCCCGAGCCTTGAATGACACGCAAGTAGGCCGGCAGCAGCTCGTGACCTGGACTTTCTTGGACTTGCTTCGAGAGCTTACTCTGTGATTAGAAAGCACTCACAGGTTTTTAAGGTTAGAGGGGCTTCTTCTTACAGCCTTAGCACGGATCCTGTTATTTTAATGACTAACTGGACCCCAAATGCCCGCCTGTCTTTGTGACGACCACATCCTCCTTGAATTGCTCGCAGAGGATTGACACAATTTGCACACATGTGTCCTTACTGGTGCTTTTTAAAGCCAACAGTAAAACCTACAGGGCAACTACCCGAGCTCTAAACTCCACTACCCCGCTCAAAGCCCGAAATCTAATATTACTTGTAGCTCCCGCCACCCCTGGCCCCAAACCCAAACCCAAAACACTAATCTGAAAGCACCAGAAAGTATCGCTGGGATCTCCGCTGTCAGGCCGCACGACCAGTCGGCCCCAACTATCTCCCGAGATCCGGCCTTTGATCAAGTCCTCAAAAGACAGGCTAAACAAAGGAAGAAATAAGTTAAGGTTTTAAACGAGTTCGGGCGTTGAAAGGTCAGGGCAATCAACTTGAGGCATTTGTTAACGAACAGTCTACATTGTACTAAATGCACGTGCAGCCTATGGCGATGGCTACTCATTTCCAGCCTTACACGAACGAAAACCGTAGTACTAGCGACAACGGTATATATAAGAGACTAGGACTGGCAGCGATATAGCGAGATTGCATTTGAAACGTGCTCCACGGAGCAGGTCCTTGAGGCTTGAGCCCCAGTAGTCCCGACAAGCCTTGAAGACGTCGAAGGAATCACCTGCAATATATACTGGGGGAATTGCCTTCAAACTATAATGGAATTTATGGATGTTCACATAGTTACGGCATTGTGGGATCAAATCATAATGGCATTTATGGCTGTTCACAAAGTTATGGCATTTAGGATCATGCCTTCTTTGGCTTTTCACCTAGACCATACTGGACCACAAATCCTCGCAGTTGCCTAGACCATACTGGACCATAAATCCTCGCAGCTGCGCAGGGGCGCTAGCGTGTTACGTTAGGACTGCTGCTTACCGACCAACCTAACCCCCAAAACCTGAACCAGCCTGGCAGGTTTATTCTCTTCATGGGGCCGGTTTCAGATTCGGAGACATAAGACCAACTAAACCCTGCACCTTCCCAAGACTAAACTTTACCAAATCCGCATCCTAGTCACTGACGCACGCCACGAGCCCTTGAGGGTATTGCACCAGCATGTTCTTCATGGCATCCACCTACAGGGTTTGATGAGCTACTTGTGCCTTGTTGGGCTACCCATCATAATCCTGGTTGGGTTGTACAATCCTGAAATCTAAGCAGTATGTGACAATGTGGGAACTTCTCAAAACAATCTCTCCTCTCTCCTTCTCTCTCTCTGTCTCTCCCTCTCTCTCTCTCTCTCTCTTTCTTCTTTAATTGGGACATCACAATCCCTCTACTCTGATCCCTATATACCCCCAGGGTAACCCTATATTTTGAAAGACCTCCCCCATATTCAGCTTTTGACCCACGGCGGGATTAGAGGACCAGGGGCATCTTTTAAGCGTCCTCCCACCTCGCCCTCCACTCCCCAAGAGGTGATGGTGGAGTGCTCCGAGGCCGGAATGGAGAAACCTCATCCAGATTGGCAGGATTTTGGGAACCAAGGGGTTCTAAGGACATACTTCCTCCATAGTCTAAACTAAACCCCTAGTATCCCCCTTTCTACAACTCCCTTTAAGGAGTTTAGACTATAGCTCCCATATAGGGAGGCGACTAACTATCAAGGCTGGCTTATAAATGCTTCAACGGTCAAGGATTTAAGGTCTCGGCTCAGGGTTTCTCTTTTGGGCTTTTCAGGGTTTGGGCTCCCCCACCTGAAGCCTTAAGACAACAGCAACAAAACGCTGACCACAGCCTTCCAAGCAAGGCAAGTATATGATGAATCAATGAAGGATAGGATACTACTTAGGTGGACCCCACCCTGTAATAGCGGCATATTAGGAATATAAGAGGACCGTCATATGGTCACCAGTATCCATTATGGTCACTATTCCTGGGTCGGGGGTCCACCCAAGACATTACCTGGGCATAACTTGGGTTTTCCCCACTCTGAAATCTTGGATAAGGTACCCGCTGCTGCCTTGGAGTGGTAGTATCTCTTGGTGCAAAGGAGGGCTGCCACTGTGTCCGTTCCCAGGAAATTCACCTGAGGGTTCTCTCAATCTGTCTGCACTGGTTTTCGTATGTAGTTAAGTTCCCTGAAGGTATGGGCTACAGAAGCTATGTTTGAATAGCCCCCCCACACGTAAGGAGATGAACCGTAAACCTTAGAAAACACAACATCTTAAAACCATTTATGTCATCTTCCATGCTCTTTTCCATTTGATTCTCCATTATTGGAATGATATCCCTAAATGATCCTAAGTGTACACGGTTTTGCGGAGCCCCGCGCCAAGTGAGCCGCCCCTCCAATGGCCGCAGACTCCACGGAGGAAACGCCACGGAACCCGAAGTCGTGGAGTTTGAAGGCAGAGCCACCAGGTATCTGCCAGGCCTGCAGCTTTTAGCTAAAGGGATTTTGGGTCTACAGTCCCCCCTAAGTAGATAGAATATGGTTTTGGATATATGTATAAGAAGACCCACATATACCCCATATTCTATCTACGTAAGGGTGACGATAGGGCTTATAGGGCTGAGGATACCTGGCATACCTTCAGGACTTTGCTGAACCGATTTACGGCTTAGAGTCTCGGCTTGAGGTTTATGGTTTCCATCTCTGGGTGCAGAATTCGTTTAGAGATTCCAGGGTTCTTTTGAGTGCTGTTCACTGTCTATGTTTGGGCCCCAGATTCTCTTGCCCACCCCATGTCCTTTTGGCTAGATCCCTCAGCTTAAGCATTCTACCCGTCGGGCTTTGGGTTTGGGGTACATCTCATGATGCTCACATGCTCATGCAATGCAAGCTACATGCAGGCACTAACGTGGCAAGAATGGCCATGTAAATCGTCTTCTTCGCCATGATACTGGCCTCTATAAATATACATATACATATATATATATATTTACAAATGCAAGCTATGTGCACATGCACATACATACAAACAGGCAGATAAACAAGACCACATATGCATGAATGTGCCCAACATATACACGCCCACACCTGAAACCCCTACTGGGTTGCTGCTAAGGAACTTAAATTAAGTTACTATGTTGGGGAAACCCTATTAATTACTATATATACCCATTATGGTAACCCTAAACCCTAACCCCTAAACCCATTATGGTAACTTNNGTTCCGTAACAGCAACCCAGACTAGTATTGCCCTTCTCACCGCGCTGGCTTTCTCGCCCCGCACCTCATTGCCCGTCGCCGCCAACTCCTCGTGGATGCTCTTCCTGGGTTGCTGTTAAGGAACTTAAATTAAGTTACCATAATGGGTATATAGGGTTTAGGGTTTAGGGTTACCATAATGGGTATATGTAGTAAATAATGGGGCTTCCCCAATATAGTAACTT